TGGGGGGGGGTCACCATCATCAGTAAAAGAGAATCACGTAATAAGTTGATACGTAAGTCAAGACGCGTGAACTTGGCTACTAACCTGGTTGTCTCTCTCTCTCTCTCTCTCACGTTCATAAAATTGAGAGAAGCCAGTTGAAGGCTACGGTGTATGTGTGTGTGAAGTTAATCTAGGTCGTGGGAATCTATGAAGCAGACTATATATATATATATATATATATATATATATTTCTTCTGCAGACACTGAAAAAAGATTTGCAAGGATATAAACACTTTGAACCTCTAAAGGAACCCGAAGAAGCAATCACATCCACAAAATATCCAACATTGATGCCACTTTTTCACGTCTAATTGAATTTAAATTCACACTCTACTTCACGGGTTAAATAAATCCATTTCAGACCTTTGTAATTAGATCGCTGTACATCAAAGAATTATACATAATAGGTGATAACAGCTCGAAAGGTTGTATCGTGTGTGAAATAGCGAATATTAAAAGGAATCCCATGCAATCTAAGATGCAAAGTTTCCTTATCTCGAAAAGTTAGCGTCCAAATCTTAAAGGAAAGTATGTGTGTCCTCCTGGACATAGTACAGCAGAAGCACGGAGTATCGCAGTTGAGAAAGTCGCGATCCGTCATCCCGCATTTTTAAGCACCGCGGACAGACATTCCACCCAATAAATATGCGCCGATGAGAATCGACTTCGCCATTGGTTATGCGACTTAAGAGATAAAAATATATGTCTTCCTGCCCAGCACACAATAATATCCTAGTAAGACATGGCTAAAACATACACGCACACACACACAATACTTTTTCGTCATTAGATTATACGCAACATCAACTAGTAGTAGACAAATAAGTTTCGTTCGGTTTGAAGAAATGAAGCACATCACTGGGCGTATAGAGCTGGGCAGATCTAGAGAGAGATAAGGCGCACACTCCATTGTAAGAGAGAGAGAAAAAAACAAAAGCGTTTACTAACAACGTTAGCTCCCATATCCGGATAACGGGAGTCACGAAGGTAGTTAACTAAAACAAAGTACCAGAGCTTCTATAAACAAAATGTGGAAAAGAACTGCTGGGAATGGAGGACACACAGAGAGGCAACACTTCAAGGCTGAACGGCATATACATATATTTATGAAAGTGAATAAGGAGCACAAGCAGCTTGCATGAAGAGACAGCATCATCGAGATAAACTTGAATCCTATCGCTCAGTCTTTACCCTAGACAGGTTAACAGGAGTGCGACGATGGACACCTAGCCCGTGGGTTATGACACAACAAGCAAACCCATTAACCCATTTTGTGGCACTAATCTCAATAAAGCTTTAAACCCACACATACCAAGGAAAAAGAGGAAGCCCTCTAAAGGCTTGCTCTTGAAATTATGACGATAACACAAGTAAACTCATTTGAAGCATTTCAATTGTTCATCAATAACCCCGTGATGATTTAGATGTGTACAGATATGCAGGAGTGAAGAGCCACCGATTAGACTGCATACCTTGTGAAGGGCTCGATTTCGGTAAACAATTCATTTTAAAATTCCAACATATAGGCGAATGGCATATCCTTCAAAATTAATTGTCAGTTATCCAGATTTCACTCTTAAAATAGCGAGTTTACTTTTAGTTCCGGTTCATTGATTTCGTCTTTGAAATTGGAATAAAAGTCTCACAAACAAAGAGCCATTTGGAATTGATTAAAACAGATCTTTTATTTACCTACATAAGTTTCTTTAAGTGGTTGGCGATAGACCTATATCCACGCGGTGCAGCCTGGACAACGTATACTGATACGGCAAAAAAGTCTTTAAACCGGCAGTTGAATTCTGACTTCAAACTACCATGACCCGACTGTATGAAATATTCGATCACTTTCACAGTACTCATCTTACCTCTTTCTCTGTCTTTGTGTCTATCTGTCTGTCTCTTTGACATCTGTGGATCACTCTTCTGTTCCCCACCCAATGAGAGCCCATGCACTATCGTCAAGGTAAGCACAGCATTTCACCACCTCCTCCAAAAACACCATCTTCGCTACGTTTTTTTTTCCACTGACATTCGGCAAACATTCACCAATGTTACCTTAAAAACTCGGTACTTTAATTACCAAATCATACGTGCACGCAGTTAGAAGGGAGAAATCGGTCCACACTTAAACCGGACCACAAAATTCCGATGACTCACCCCTTTGGTAGCTCCCAAAGTAACACCAGCAGCGCCTGCCTGTGGTTCAAGGTAAGACCAACCGCGTCGTTTATGCTATTACACATTAAAAAAAGAGGCGGATTAAAATACAAGGAGTGAGATGGGAAATTGGAAATGCCGGATTTCAATCTGCACAAACTTACTATAGGACCCGGCCGACTTGTAAACTGAAGATTCTCAGGGGCCACATAACTCAAGGGAGTCCAGTCCGGCTAAAGTATCGAACGAAAATGAGGTTATTTAAGCATAAACTGGGAGCAGGGGGGGGGCGTTCTGATTTCCGATTTCTGGGCATGCTTAAATTGAGTGGCAGCATTAGTAGTATATGAGGCCTGCTATTACAGGAGTGTAAGACGGAAGTAGAGCCAAGGTGAGTGAAGAGGGATGAGTCATGGCCGGGTGTGTATGCATGTGAAAAGTCCCACAGAAAGTCATTAAATTTTCGGTGTTCGCGAACCCGTAAACACACCCCGATCCCAGCCAGTGAATGGGTGGGTGGGTGGAGTGGGGGCAGATTAATTTTGTAAGTTAATTTTTATGCCTTACCAACTATAAGACGGCAGCACTAGGTAGGCTACTAGACCACTACGGCCGCTTCTACGTACGTTCACACACACCATTGGTTATGAGAATCTGGATCGGTTTGAAAGTGAGGCCAAGAAGAAAGCAGGGAAGTGCGAGGGTGACTATTTAACATAAACATGCCAAAGTTCAATTAATTCAAATAGTTGAAGTTGACCAGCACGCTACGTCTATTCGACTAGGAGGTAGGTTTGATCCATTTAATGACACGGTTTCAAGTCCAATTTATCATCACAAAGTGGTATGGATTAGTTTGTAAACGAATACAAATCTACTGAAATCAAATTTCCATTCACGTATGATCGGCCATTAGGATATGGCGAAGCAGAAAACCAGATGAAAAACGCACGAATTGCTTTACCATTGCAATAGCAATCTAAAAGTCCTGATGATTAGAAAATGAGTAGACACCAGGATTGCTTGGAAATTAAGGGTACTCGAAGCGATCGAAGGGGATCCTATTGGTGGAAAGCGTTTGCAAAGCTATGGATAGGAAATTAGAACTGGAACTTTTGAAAATTGCAAACAAGATGCAACGGACCTATACTACAAAAGTGACAAAGTAAAGTAACCACAACCCTTCACCCCGATTGAGCTAATTTAGTGTTGTTGCGTTTAAATGCCTTGAAATGGAAAATGCCAGCTCTTAATACCTGCATACTGAATGTCAATAAACTCTCCACTGACCTTGATAAGGCTTTCACTTTTGCCAAAAGACTCTAACAAACCACCATATGCTAATACGCAGATAATGAAAATCGTGACTAAGAACTGCGCTGCATGCCTAGAGATATGTACATTTTCTTGGGCCACGAGACAGAGAAACAGCCTAGAGTCGAACTGAAGCATGGTACCCCCTCATTTGTGTCTTCCACAAGGCAGAAATATGCCAATGTCGATGACATTTTACTGCGATAGGCAAGAAGCCTCTATATGTGGGGGATTTGAAAAAAAACTTAATTGCATACCCTGTAGAAAGAATATAACTTTCATTAGGGCGATAAGTGGAGAATGCGAGAAGGGTAAAAATAAGCGGGGACACCTTTATAATTTGCGTGAAACGCGCACACCAGCACAGACAACATGGTTCATGTGGACTAGGGGATTTTCAAGAGAACCGAAAGTTGGTGGAATATTGCAAAAAAGAGATATTCCAAGCATTGGAGATGGTGGGTTTATACTTATTTCCAGGTCCTATAAAGAGCATACTATTTAAAGAAATAGTATGTCGAATATCCACGAGATTTTAAAGCAACAGATCTTTAATCGACTACAAATGAAATTCAGTACTAATAGAAAACATTTATTACCAAATAATATTGATTGCAAATTCGGAGGTTAGACAGACTACTTGTGGTGTCACATTCTGACGTTATATAGTTGATCATTTCTACGATTTACCATGACTAAACTCTTATGCTGAAAAAAACATTACAGCATATGATTTAATTGAAACGACCAATTATAGTGGTCGGTAAGGGACAACAGAGAACTCTATATACTGACAGGTCTCGGTAGTCAAGATAGACTGCTCTACAATTCACTCTCTCTCTCTTAATACGGACTTGAGACGCTGTCCCCATCAATAACTAAAAAAATCCTAATCCACCAATCATAAGCCTTCACGATTATTTCCCGATAAACAATGCACCAATTCATGCGAAACTAAAGCCCCCCCCCCCAAACAATAATTAAACACCAAAGGATGGACTTCAATCATCTGTTGAAAACGAAAAAATATGCATATCTAGGTGGGATAGGAAACGCTTCTCATGCGAAAACCGTTAGTTTGAGATTATGCCTGGGCGCGCGCGTTATGCTATTAGTAGCAGCAATTAAAACAAAACACGAAAATGAATTCAACAGTTTTGGCAAGCGGTAAATGCGAACAAGCGGGGGAGGGGGGGGGGGTAGGCGGGTGAGAAATCAGTGACATAAAATGGCAACACGAAACAAATGAAGTAGTCAACCTTTTTAAGTCCTTTTAGATCCTAGACGAAAGACGATGATGACATTATAGGTAGCAAAGTTAGATTCAAACCTGGTACTTTTAAATTAAATTTAACGACGATACCTATTAAACATACTACTTAAATTAGGAAAGAAGTGGATTTATAAAATAAAGCACAACAAAACAGACTAATGATAAGAATATCTGAGCAAATATACCCCAGGGAAGTAGCTGAATTGGGAATCGCCAAAATTGAGCTCAACGGTTGAATTGTTAAGAGCGACGGTTGGGAAGAAGGCAATTCTACGGGCAACAGGGCTTCCATTAGAAGCTAAAACGGTTGCGAAATTATCAGGAAGGTGGTAAGCATCACCGAAAGGATGACCATTTTTCGCCCATCGAATTGTGCGTTGTGTCAGGTCGAGGAAGCAGCCAATAACATCGCCTTCTCCAAAGCTCTCGCCATAGTTGTCAATCTCATTGTTGTGCATGCGCTTGCCTTGTTGACCAGAAAGGCCAAAGCCATCAGCATCTGACCCATAACCGAAACCGAAAGCGTCTGTCCCAACCAAGAGGCTTCCATCCTCAGTTGTCCAACCAATTCGAGCCAGACCATTGGATTCGACTACTCTTGCCTCGTAATAGAAACGACCATCTCCTTTTACACCCTAAAAAACAGAGCAAATTAAATTATAATTACTCCTGAATGGACTCAACAATGCTGAGCTACTTTTGCTACTAATATCATTAAAATGTTACGAGAATTATTCATGAGATAACGACTCAATAAGAGGAACATTAAACTACTCCAATAAGGCATGAAATGGGGTTGGAAACAAGGAATAGTTGACGATTAGTCCTGCCTTGGATTCTGGAAACACTAGAGTGTGACTAGTCTTCTGTGTAGTGGGAAAACTTTGCATTGATCTGATGCCTAAATTTCATTTATTAATTTCCATATTCAAGGGTGAGATCATACTTCGCAATATTAAGAGCTTGATGATACCGAGAATTGTCATAGCACATCCATTTACTGGAAACAATTCTAAGCATAAAAATTCGCTTTTTGAAATCATCCAAAACCAAGTTCTCTCCCGACTTTGAAAGTTCAAGTAGCTCAAAGCCAGACACCTTCGTACTCATTGTTATTTGAATTTACTCTCCTTGGTGCACCGCTTACGAGCTAAAATGACACTTGCTCAATAGGAATTGCAGAGATTTGAGCTCAACTGAACAAACTCCGGGCTAGAAGCAATTGGTCCGAGGCTTGGCATTAAGCTCCGTTTCAGCGGAGAGGAATACGAGCCACACCTGGATGCAAAACCGGAGAGAACAACAATCATTTTTTGGGAAAAATCGATATTAGGCGGTAGAGTGCACTAAACTAATATTAGGGAAAACGATTGAATATCCATATTTTGATGTACTTAATAATGATAGAAAAAAGGAAGACGTGGAAACAATCGTTATTCATCTGCACCTAGGCCATTTTGAGGCCAAGTGCATAGGGGTGCTAGAGGAAAGTGTTTTGAAAAATAACATAAAGTGGCGAATGAGTTTTTCATGTTATTGTTTACTTTAATTTCATTAAGTTGATTGACTGCCAAGTTAGAGCAAGATCAAAGGTTGCAACGATAAAGAAAGGATGGAAAGAATTTAGAGTGTAATAAAAAATTTGATTATCCATAAAGCTGACAGGAATATTTTGTCAACTAAATTTAATTTCTGAAGTCGACGAAAAGCGGTAGAGAGCGCGATACAGTTTTTGTCCTCGAAGGAAATTTGACGAGATGTATATTCTCAATCGTGGGGTGTGTGCGATAGACTTCGCTCTTCTCTTCCCCACCCCTCAACTTTCTGCTACTTTGATGAACCTTCCCTCTGTGAAGCCCGAAGTCAGCCAAATGGCTAATTATAGCTATCAAAACGCCTGCCATTTGAAATAAATAAATAAATATTCAATTGTGAAGCTTATAGACTACTAAACTAAACAATACAAAAATAGCGCAAAGTGCCAGTACAGGATCTGACCTTGGTAGTGGCAAGGAGAAAACTCAAATCCCAATAGATCACAATCTCTTGCCGCTAAAGTTACATATCCACATGACAAAGAAAGTTTAATAAAATGGTAAATTTTAAAACGCGTCAGGTGAGTTTATTATAAATGGACTGGGAGAAGTAACTACGATAAGGCATTATCTAAATTGCACACTTAAATGAACCGAGTTTACGGACACACCACTTGTTCAGAAATCAATTGAAACCTTTAGATAAGAATTTAAAATAGTAAGTTAATTAGGTATTGCGTTAGTAGCGCATCTCGCTTGCTCTGTTTACCTGGAATGAGTAATTTACCCTAAGAACTTGAAAGTGCACACTTGGTAAATACAAGAAACCGAAATTGTGTGGGAAGTTCTGTGATCAACTTTGTTACAATTTTATTCATGCAGTAACTGGAGCATCGATTGTAAAAACTGAAACACACATAACTTCAAAGATCACCCAGTGCTGTCCAAATTAGGAAATTAGAACATATTATTTTTGTCAGATTTTCATCATTAACAACTAAATTAAGCCCCCCCCCCCCCTAACATAGGAACATAGGGAGGAGCATATTTGAACAAAACTTTTTGAATATGAAAACTGACAAAGAACTGCGCATTGGCATTATTAAAAAATAGCATAGGTAGAATAAGGTTTACAGGGAATGTAAATGAATGTAAATGTAATGTGATTAAAAAGTGAACTGATTTAGGCAAAGCAGCACCCGGATTCCCTGGTTACTGTACTGTTACTCCCAGGCTGATAACATGCAGCTACACAAACTAAACTAAACTAATCTAATTAATTAATAATTAATTAAATATAATATGCCTGTAGAAGTACAGACCGAAGAGAAAG